TATGGTTTCTTAAAATAAACTTGAATGTTGATAATCTGCTGCAGTGTGATACATAATCCTCTGGCTTGGATGTGAGATATCTGTTTTTCACATGGAAAGTAGAATTTTTTTTAATTTTAGTATGGAGAGAGTGGCATGAGTTTTATTTGGATTGTCTCAACAAAACCATATCATAAATAAGGTTCAAAGGTTTTGTATTACAAGAGAGGATGCAAGTCAATTGTTAATTAGGCATAAGAAAAATGCAAACTAAATAGCTTTTGGACTAATTTTCTAAGCCTCCCTGTTTAACATTTCCTTGCACGTTAGTGACTTTACAGTTTTTTTTTAACATTTCTTTATTTCTTTTAGAAAAAAAAAAAATGCACTCACTTCTTTTTTGGTTGGTTTGCTGTGAGATTTCAATTGAATGGTTAATGATGATTGGTGGTGTAGTGTCTGAGGTTTAGAGGTAGGAGGCATCCTACAAAGGTATGAAGCATCCTACTTCGTTTCCTGTGTTGTGAAATTGGTTTCCTTTCGTTTAGTTTGTTGATATCTCATCTATTTTTGCTTTCTTTTATCAGCTGGGTTTGTATGGTTGTCATTTTGATGGTAAAAGATAGAAAACAGCTTAAGACTTTATGGTGATCCAATTTAATATTCTTTGTCCAGGCATTGGCAAACCAGAGCTTGATCCTGAAAGGGTCAATTAATGTTAATGGAGGTGCAATAACTCTCGGACATCCTTTGGGCACTACTGGCACTTTCCTATTTAAAAATTGATTGCTTGATTTTTTTTTTCCTTTTTATTTTTCATATTGATAGTTTGATATTAATATCTTCCCAAATGCCACTTGAAACAAAACTTTGTTTCTATTATTGAAAATACATTTGCATTATTCACAAATTAATCCAATAGATCTTATGGTTCACCACCAAGTCTGAGAGTTTGGATTCAAGTAATCGAGAGTTCTACTCTCACCATTTATTTGAAAAAATTCCCCTTTTCCCTCTATTTCCCCATCTTCAAAAATATAATATATATATATATATATATATATAAACTGCATGACCTGAAAAGTTTGGCTTAGTTCTTGATGTTACCCACTATGTTGCCAACTCAAGCGTCATGGCACCTCTATATGTTCTACAAGCAAAACTTACATGCATAGGATACCAAATTTTGGTATCTAAAATACACTGAATTTTTAAATCCAATGTCATAAAGTGAAGCTGTTCAAGGTGGAGGGAACTCATACAGTTAAGACCCGACTGGTCTTAACTATACTGGTTTGAACTCACATAGTCCAAGCCAAGTTAAAATTTTGTTAATTGGAATATTCAAATCATATTTTTTCTGAAAAATTGACTATGGTCCTTATTTGTCATTGCATAATGAACAAGGAAAATTGACTCCAGAGAATTAAAATAAATACAACTTAGTAGATGCAATTTCATCTCATATTATACAGGTTAGAATAATGATACATTAATTTTTTAATCCTTAAAATTTCTTTTTCTTTATTACGAAAATGAATTGTTATATGATAGTCTCACATATCTAAAATCAAAGGTGGAATAGGTGTTAGTTTTACTTTGTCCTTCTCTCTCGTTGCCTATATGTTATTTTAATCTTGCTTTTGCTTGATTGAATTCTGTTAATTATCAATACTACATTTAAGAAAGGCATATCGGGTTTTTATTTGTTTAAAACTCATGTTTATATTTGGATAATCTCAATGCATTTTAGATGCTCACGGATATGGAAAAAGAATCAAGAGGACTTCAATGGAATACCAATGAGGTGTATCATTAAATGTTTCCCATTTTGTTCTTTGTCATTAACTGAGTTTATTTATTGTAGGAGTTTAATTCATCTGTTGTGACCATTTGATGCTTGCCAAAATGTTAGATTCGTAATTTTGGATTGAAGTTAAGAACGAGGTTTACATTATAAGTTTAGAGCGAAAAAAATTATTTTAAATGGTCGACTAACAAATCAGCATAAGTGGGACCAAAAAAAAGTCCAGATAGACTCAAAATAAGTCCAACAACGGCCATGTAAGCAAACATAGATGAAAGATAACGTTTCAGTTAAAAAGGGGTTATATGCCACCATCCGAGGAGTTTGAGGGTTCATATGCGACTGAATTTCGTTGAAGGGCTGATTTGCCACTAATTGAAGAGTACAAGGGCTGATTTGCCCTTTTTGCCTATGCTTAATTCTTCTGTCAGGGAAGATACCATGTTGTAGCAAACGGGTTGAAATTTTGGTTAACTCATCATGAGATCAGGAAATTAATGAAATAATGAAACGCATTACTACAAGAAAGAAACAAAATTTACATAAATTGAGGAAAATTAAATATGCTTTGATAAAATTAAAATAAAAATGTCTTTACAAAGAAGGAATACATTTTGTACCTAAAAAATAAAAAAGAAGAAGAAAAGAACACACCATAAAATGTGATGGAAAAACTTGGAGTAATCTATTGAATGTTCCCAATTTGCTTAGGAAATACTAACATCATGTCTCTGGTACCCTGTAGCAATCAAAATGACCCAAAAGCATTGTCAATAATAGGCTATTAAGAGTAGTAATGACAAGTAATTAAGAATTACAAAGCTAGACCAAATAATTAAAAGATGTTGAATCTAGACATAATCTTGTTGTTGATATTATGAGATTAATCCAACATGATGCAAGGCTTTTTCATTTTTACAATGCCATAAATAGAATTGAATGGCAAATATTTAGAGAAATTTAAGAAAGCCATTCCACAAGAAAGAAAACAAGAGAGCAACTATATATGCCAGAGATAAACCAACAACTTATTAGTTTAAGTGAAAGGAGTTCGGTTTTTCTTAAATAAGATTTTGACTTTGAATATTGTGAACAAAAAATCAAACAGTAGGAGAGATTCTCATATTATGTGTCTAACCTATCTTGAGTCAAAATTAGTCAAGGCCTAAAATGGTTTCCAAGATACTAAGAGATTTAGTAAAAAGTAAATAAATGCTATAGATGAAGCTATACAATCTTAAATAGAAGTAAACCAAACAAACTTTTTATGAGAAATACACCATTAATAAATCCTTTACCACTAAGAATGAGATCAACGATTATTATCTTTGACCTATGGATTCTTATGACCTCAAACCATAAACCAAAAGAGAATAATGGTGCGGTTTCAAACTATTACAATTCTCCATATATAGAACCAGAAACTCAAAAATGAGTCACCAAAGGAAAGGGATATTCATTGTGAATGAAAACGGAGAAAAGACTATAAAATCAAATAACTTGAAACACACCAGACTATTAAAGAGACTGGACAACACGTCTGCCCTCCACTTCCACTGATTGAAAACAAACCCATAAGCAAGTGCTTGCTTCTAGTTATCATTAACAACTCCAAAGAGCGTCTGTGAATGCAAAGTTGAAAAGTGCTTCTCGAGAAGCCAAATTGTGCAAAAAAAAAAAAAGAAAAAAAAAAGATGTCAGTTAGTATCCTGCTAAGTTAGGAAAAATTGAAAGCTGTCATGATTTTGCTTCCTTCCTCTGATTTTTCTACAATGAGATTGTGCCACAGTCAATAATAACGAGAAAGAATGTTTATATTTTCCCTTTATATATGGTTTTGTGCTCTAAATAATACGCTTAATATGTCAATGTGACCAAATTAAGTTCTATAAGAAAAGATACAAAAAAAGGAGATAGAAGTATTATTATAATATTTTTAAGAAAGTATGAGCCGTGGATTGATTTTGCATCAATGGAGATTGGTCTTAACATTTCAAAATGGTTTTATCCCTGGAAGAAGGGATGCTGTCTTTTCCTTCCGTCTGTGGTTTGTTTTTACAACTTTTGAAATTCTTTTATAATCTTTTTTCACATTCCTCTTTTTGACCGAAATATTTGGATTCCTTAAGTTATTGATTCTAATTTATGCTCCTAAGAATGCATTTTGTAATGTGCACAAAACTATTTTGAGAAAAGGAAAAATTCATGCACCGATTTGTAATGACAAAAAAATTACATAACTATTTTGATTTTATTTATTTCTTGTTTGTATGAAAACAAAAACTAAAGGACTAATTTGATGAAAACTAGGTTGACTAGGTTTGGGTGGGTTTGACCGAGTTTGGGTAGGTTTGACTAGGTCTGAGTGGGTTTTGACCAAGTATGACTTCAAATGGGTTATTGTTATAACCCAGCCCATTTTTAAACTATGTTTGGTTTAACCAGTTGAATCGACCAATTTCAAAACAATGAAAAATTAAGTTTTGATGATTGAGAAATTGAAATCACTACCTACTAAAATGAAGGTGCAGTAGGTTGCCATTGCTTTACAAGAAATTAGGGATTAGGGGTTTGGTTAAGAGTGAGAAAAGGTATACTAACACATTACAATTCTCTGTGTTAACAAGGTTGCATACTTTAAATTTGGGAATTTATTTATAACATAAATGTTTATTTAAATTAATGGCCTTAAGTGAAGCAAATCAAGCATATACATGGGTATGAAAATGAGAATTGAAAGTTTTGGGTTTAATTGAAAAGAAATGGAAATGCACATGTCAAATTGAACAAACAAAAACAGAGGGACTAAACGGTACAGATTTGAAACCTATGGGTGCATTTTGAACAAATTAAAAATTTAGGATTTAATTGCATAATTTTGAAAAGAAGAGTACAAGATTACAATTGCATAATTTCCCATGGGTTTTAACTTTAAATGAAAATTTCTAAATTTTTTAGTTTTAATGTGACATGGGAACTAATCTAAAATATGTTGACAAGAAAAGTTGAGATTTAATTTAATTAAATGTCATTTGGTACCTAATTGGAGAGATTTAAAATGTGAATCTAATTTTTTAGTAGACCTAACAAAATTGAACTCAATCCAAAAATCCGACCCAACCCATCCGTTATGGGTAGGATCATAGGTCTTATGTATTAATTCGAAATCCGAAATGATCTAGACTAAAATTACCAAACCCAAATGGGTTGGGTCACCCAAAATGATCTGAACTTTTTTTTATTCATTTTTTATTAGATTACTTAAAAATTAATTTTAAATTTCTAATTTCGTAATCCTAAAAGTAAAAATAAATAAAATACTCAAACCCTAATATCTCATCAATTTCACTTTCTCTCAACTTTCCTCTCTCCACTCTCGCTCTCCCCTTCTTCATCTCAAGTTCTTTAATCCTTTTCTTTGGTGGCACTTGCGTAAAAAATTAAATTAGGTGGCACATAGTAAGTTATGTTATATGACATCATAAAAAAATCATTTTTTAAAAATAAAAAGCAAGAATGCTTACTGAAAATCAAAACTCAGTGATTAAGGTACTCTCATAACCATTAGAAGTACAAAGACAAAAAAATCAAGAACATCAAAGTCCGTTCTTAGTTGTTAATTTGTTCTTAATTAATAATTTGTTTCTAATTAATAAAAATCAATTCCGATCCAATTTCTTCTTGTATTTGATTAGACATATTTTGGATTTGCCTTTTAAACTTTAATATTAAATAAGGTTATACTTTTTTGTATAATGCCCTCCTAAATATTGAATAGAGCTGTATTTTTTGTATAATACTCTCATAAATATTGAATAGGCACTGGATATTAATATATATATATTTTGGATTTGTGTTTTGAACTTTAATCATTCATGTCTCTTCTTTTGATGAAGATTAATATCTTTATGAAATTATGAATTCTTAATATTGTATAAATATTATATATTCGACATATATTTTAGTCCCACCTATATAATCACTAATTTTTTCCCTTTTTTTTTCTTGAGATTGGAAAAAATTGAATTATGAAATGAAAATTAACGTTTAATAAGTTTTCTAACTAAATAGTTAATTAGTAATAAAGTTTTTAATTAAATAGTTAATTAATATTAGGTTTTGTTAAAGAAAAATAGAAAAAAAAATATAGAAAAATTTTAATTTTAATTTTAATTTTTTAAAAGTTGGGTCCACCTAATCCAATCCAAGATCCGTGTAGGTGGGTTATGAGTTAACCTCTTTAATCCGACACCCAAAATGACCCAATTCGAACAACCCAAGATCCGAGATTACCTAATCCAAACCCACCCAATTCGACCTGTTTGCCAAGTCTATTTTTTAGGGACTTAAAGGTGACGGAGAAAAAGATAGGGGACCAAAACAACAAGTGAAAAAAAAGCAAATTTATTAATTTGAAATTAATTTCATTCATTAAATTTATTAAAATATATAATATATTTTTCTTTAATAGGCATCTAAAACATTGATATCATATCAATTATAAAATTATTTTTTCTTTATATTGATTTTATTTTCAAAATTGCTTGAGATTAGTCTTAATTTTAAATTGATTTCATACAATTTTATTTTTAAAAAGATTTCATTCATTTTATTATCTAAAGTAATAATTGGTTTTATTTCCAAAATTACTTAAAATTAGTTTAACTTTAAATTGATTTCATTTATTTCATTATATAAAACAATTACTTATTTTATTTCCAAAATCAAATTAATTTGATTTTAAAATAAAATTACTCTCTAATTTAAAATGGTAATTTACTTTCAAATTACATTTAAAATAATTTAAAAATTTTCATTCATTAATTTTGATTTAACTTTAAATAGATTTTACAATTTAATTATTATATTATCTATTAATTAAATAAATACAAATATAAAAATGAAAGAAAAATGAAAAAAATGTAGAATGTAAAAAAAAAAGAAGAAGAGAGAATTGAATCAGTTCGAGTCAACTAGGTTGACCAAATTTGGGTGGGTTTGACCAAGTTTGGGTAGGTTTAATTGGGCTGAGTGGGTTTTGACCAAGTATGACTTCAAATGGGTTATTGTTAAAACCCATTGCATTTTTAAACTAGGTTTGGTTTAACCAATTGAATCGACCAATTTCAAAACAATGAAAAATTAAGTTTTGATGATTGGGAAATTGAAGTCACCACCTACTGAAATGAAGGTGCAATAGGTTGCCATTGCTTAACAAGAATTAGGGATTAGGGGTTTGGTTAAGAGTGAGGAAAGATATACTAACACATCACAATCCTCTGTGTTAACAAGGTTGCATACTTTAAATTTGGAAATTTATTTAACTCACAAATGCTTATTTAAATTAATGGCCTTAAGTGAAGCAAATCAAGCATATACATGGGTATGGGAATGAGAATACCAATGCACATGTCAAATTGAACAAACAAAGACAGAGGGACTAAACAATACAGATTTGAAACATATGGGTGCATTTTGAACAAATTAAAAATTTAGGGTTCAATTGCATAATTTTGAAAAGAAGAGTACAATATTACAATTGCATAATTTCCCATGGGTTTTAACTTTAAATGAAAATTTCTAATTTTTTTTTAGTTTTAATGTGACATGGGAACTAATCTAAAATATGTTGACAAGAAAAGTTGAGATTTAATTTAATTAAATGTCATTTGGTACTAAATTGAAGAGATTTAAAATGTGAATCTAATTTTTTAGGGACTTAAAGGTGACGGAGAAAAAGATAGGGGACCAAAGCGACAAGTATAAAAAGCAAAATTTATTAATTTGAAATTAATTTCATTCATTAAATTTATTAAAATATATAATATATTTTTCTTTAATAGGCATCTAAAACATTGATATCATATCAATTATAAAATTATTTTTTCTTTATATTGATTTTTTTCTAAAATTGCTTAAGATTAATTTTAATTTATTTAATTTTTAATTTTAATTTTAATTTTAATTTTTTAAAAGTTGGGTCCACCTAACCCAATCCAAGATCCGTGTAGGTGGGTTATGAGTTAACCTCTTTAATCCG